TAAACTACCTCTAATAAGGCTTGTCTCAGATAAAAATTAAGCAGAGTACTAAGGCCAGATCTACCTCAGATAAATGTCACATGTCTCCATCTGGGCAGGCCAGATCTACCTCAGATAAATGCCAACTCCAAAAATAAAATAATAGTGATTCTTTTTTCTCTAAGCTTTTTCTATGTCACCAGTATCTTGTCAGACAAAAGGTTCCCAGCCACACCACGAAGGATGGACAGCTGCAGAACAAGGGGACGGCAGAACTTCATTCAAGGACCCCCACCATCATCCCAGGACTTTACAAGCTACCCTCCCCATTTCCCCCCAAGAGCCAACCGACGCCCACTATTCAGCCAGTAGCAGTCTTTGAGAGAAATGTCACCCTATACCCACTCAACCACAATTTTTTCTTTTTTAAAAAACAAGAGTCAGGGATGATAGATTCACAGCACACTCCCAATGTTTGGGCATGGTTGCGCATGTCCGGCAGACCTAGACACTTCTGCCTAGCCATTATCGGGTCAAAATAGCCATTTCCGGGTCAACATGTCTCATGTGACCAGGACCTTGTGGCTTTGCATGGTTGCGTAAAGTGCGCAATGCAACCATGTGATCTACGCACACGCGTGGAGTAGCCACATGAACCTGTGTATGCGTGTGCGACCCAGCCTTCATAAGCCAGCGCCGTGTTCCCGGCTTCCTTTTTTATTCATGTGGCCTTTCAACAGGCCTGAGCACACCTGTCTGTCTCTCTTATCTTAATAAAACTCTTGTTAGTGGATTCTGTCACGTTTCTTGACATTTCCAAGCAGGGTAAGAGTGCTGCCAGATGACTAACAGTGATTATGTCATGTTGGGAAGCTGGGCATATGAGGATAACATGGGGGGTCTAGGGCTCCCCTTTCTCTTCCCTCCATCTGAGCTCTCTTCCTTCATACCCAACTTTATTGTCTCCCAAACTTATCAGAACCCCCCTTGCTCTTCCATTCCTCAGACTGAATGTCCATCCCCTTCTTCTGATTCCCTTTAGTCCACATGGAAGTTTTCAGTTCCCAGGTAGGCCAGTCAGCAAGGTTCTGACCCCTGAGGGCAAGCTGGCCTTAGAGTTCTAGCCAGATCTCCAAAGGGCCTCTGGTTCTGACACCTGCATTTAGTGAAGCCAGACTTGGGTGGAGAACAGAAACCTGGGGCTAAAGAGGAAGTGGGGAATTGTGGGTGTTGCTGGGGAGAAACAGGCACACTCTTACTTCACTGTGGTTTCCTCCTGGGCTTTCTCAGCTTTCCTTACTCTGTCTTGTGAGTCAGGAGACTACAGTTTCTCTGTAAGCCTTTATCTAGTGCAGTTCAGGAGCCTAACTACAAAGCCTGTGGCTGGAGGGTCCACAGGGCCACACGAGCCTTGCTCAGCTTCCCTCTTGTCCACGGAGGCCTCTGCTTCCTCGGCAATTCATCCCACACTGGCTGTGGTGGCTGCCTGGATCCTGCCCTGCCCTGATCTCTTCTCCTCAGAGCATCCTTAGTCCTTCCCTTCCTGCCCCATCCCAGCTGAGAAGAGGACCTATGGCCTGGGAGGCCACATGCCTGCTGTCCCCCATCCTGCTGGTGCTCCTGGCCTCAGGTAAGGACAGGGGACAAGGACAGAGGGAAGGAACCGGGGAGAGGAAAGGGCAGGGGTTGGGAGGTGAGCACAGATGGGCTCTGTGCTTGGGAATGCAGAATACATGGAGTGCTGTGGCCAGCGGCTGGCTCTAAGCTACGTCCCGAGTGTCCTGAGCATAAACACACAGGGTTACTCCCTGAGAAATGAACCCATCTCCTAGCCCTGCTGTAGAGGCTGGGGGGCTCTGACTGAAGGGTGTTTTCTCAGGCTCCTGGGCACATGACACAGTGTTACATCATACAGTGGAAGGCAAGACCGTTTTTGTGAGATGCCACTATGATCCCAGCCAACGCTTCAAGGAGAAGGTGTGGTGTCAGGAAACACCAGGAAAAACTTGTAAAATCTTAGTGTCCACAAACACCACAGATGCTCAGCAGTCAAAATTCTTCCTCCAGGACTATCCTGATTATCAATTCTTCACTGTCACCATTACTGCACTCACGGTGAGAGACTCGGGTCCTTATTTCTGTGGGATCGCTGAAAATCTCACAACGATCTCTGTTCTCAGAAACATCTACCTGAAGTTGTCAAAAGGTGAGCTCCCCCACTCTATATGGCTCTCGCAGCCTTCCTGAATCACAAGGCTCCAGAGCTGGAGAGGGCTCTAGAAACTGCTTCCCCAATCACCTGGAAACTGGAGCACAGGGGAGAAAGGCCCCCTCCCCCAAGGCCACCTTCTGGTTCAGGGCAGAGCCAGCCCTAGAACCAGGCTTGCTGGCCTCTGGGCAGTTCTCACCAGTTACTCTTAACACTTCTGCTGCTGCTGCTGCTTCTGCCGCTGCCGCTGCTGCCACTGCTAATAGAACTCAGTTTGTTGAGGATCTTATGGCTCCCCTGAGCTGTCACAGTTGTTTTTTCCTGAACATCCCTTGACTGTAATCCCATCATAAACCTTCTCTCTAGGGGTGGTGGGCTCCATCACATGAGAGAGACCTCAGAGCAAATGGACAGGGCACTGAGAGATGTGGACAGAGAGGAGACAGCTAGACCGAGGGGCACACAGGAGGCTTAGTGGGTAAGCCTGGCAGATGGAGGTCCTCATTCAGGATCTGCC